GATAGATAGATAGATAGATAGATAGATAGATAGATAGATAGATAGATAGATAGATGATAGACTGATTGATAGATACATAAGTAAGTAAAAATAATCCCAACTGCTAGTCTGAAGACCTTCTTCCACCTTCTTATACATAATCCTGTAAACAGTAAGTAATTAAAGAACTAGGCTGTACTTTAAACAAAATATGCACATGAACTTTCTCACTCTGAAGACCAAACCCTCTACCTGAACGAAGTAACTCAGACCCAGAAAAACATAGTATGTATTTATACATGGATGTTACCTGTTGAACCATTGATAAGCATGCTCTAATCTGTACAACCACAGAGTTTAGATAGAGAGTAATGGACTAGAAGGGGAGGGGTGCCTCTCCATGGGAAGGGGAAATAGAATGTATAGATGTGAGTGGAAGGGAGGAAAGGGAGATTGTGATTAGAGAAACAAACAGCGAGGGGAAGTAGGAGGGGGTGAAGAAGGGGATACAGGGAGGAACAGCAAGACTGAGGGCCATTTGAGGGGTCGTATGGAAGTCTAATATAGTAGAAGCTTCCTATAATAGATACATATATGAAGGTGCTCTAAATTAAATCTCCAAATAATGGAGGAGACAGAGCCCCAGTTGGACATATCTGGTCACCAAATGAAGCTTCCAGTACCAGGAATGGGTTACATCTAATTGAGTTGTTGACCAAAGGGATACCATGGAAACCCCCAAACAAACAAGGTTATTGTCAAGGCTATTGGTGGCTCTCCCCAAACTGACGGTAAAGTCCTCTTACTAAAGACAACGCCTACACAGCTCATTGAACATGAAGAAGTCGAGCCCGTGCCTACGAAAAGCCCTCACCACTAAGGACTAGTGTTCATGGTACCAGAAGGTACTCTGCAAACCTACTAGAGAAACGTGAACACCAACCCAGCTACAAACCCTTCAGTCCATAAGAATGACCTGTCTGTAATCTGTTTGTGCAATGGTGGCACAAAGCTTGTGGGAGTAACCAACCAATATCTGATTTGAGTTAAGACCCAATCTAGAAGATGGAGCCCATGTCCAATGCTGCTTCGGTGGGCAACAACCTGAAACTAAATAGGAGAGAGATCTGGGGAGAAA